TTCTGCCCTTTGCCCCCCTTCCGCCCTGCTCCTTCTTCTGTGGGTTTTTTGTTTTGGCTGTCTGGGATCCCGCCTGTGGGTACAGTAGTGTACATTGACTCTGTTACGTTGTTACTTTGTTTGTGCTGCCACCAAATAACCACCTGTTTTTCACTAGCACCTGGGCCTGCACATTGAGTTCTACCTCAGTTCTCCCTCACCCTCCTGGTGAGGGGGACTCAACCATAACAAAGTGGTTTTTGTGGCATCCCAAATATCAAGTATTATGTTTTTCTCATTTTGCTTTACATTGGTTCAGTGCTGGGAAACACACTTGTGATGGTAATAATATGCCTGAATCATAATCTGAGAACTCCAAAATATATTGCAGTTTTTAACCTGGCATTTACAGATCTGTTCGGTAGCTCTGCTTTGGTGCCGAAGGTTCTTGACATCTTTCTGTTTGACCATCCCTACATCTCTTACAACAACTGCTTGACATTCATGTTTTTCTGCTACACCTGCCTTCCAATGCAGGCTCTTAACCTGGTTGCACATGCCTATGACAGAATGATACAGTAGCTGTCAGCTTCCCTCTGCACTATCATGTGTATCATCTTATTTACGTACATCTATATTGGCTGTGCTTTGACTAAAGTGGCCACAGTTTGGGAAAGGGTGAAGGCTTTTAAAGCCTGCATAGCTCATCTTTCATTATTGGCAGTCTATTTTCTCCCATTTATAATCACCTTTACCTTACGCACACATCCAAATTGCAGGAATGTAAATTTGTCTTTGTCCTCTGTTATTCCTCCCACATTAAACCCAATCATTTATGTTCTGCATACACAAGAAATCAAAGAATCAGTAAAAAAGGTGCTTAAAATCAGAGGAGAGTCTAGAATTCCAAGAACCAAAAAAAAACAAACTATATTTGTTGTATTGGTCCTTTTGCATTAGTTAAAACAACAGTTGCAAATCTTATATTTATTTAATCATAACAAACAAATATCTGAGAATAGTTCATATCATATAATGAAATAACTGCTGTTTTAGAATGTTTACTGAAGTCAAAACAATTTAAAAGAAAGCACAATACAGAAATAATTACTGTATGTAATAGTGTAGTTAACTACAGCATATTAATAATGTAGTTTGTTTGTGTGAGAGCAACATGAACAAAGAAGGAAGTTGGTAATATCTTTTATATGAACATATAAAACACATTCTTATTTGAGCCCCGGAGAGCCGCTCAGTAAGTATTCTGCTATGTTTTAACAATTCCTTGTGTGTATATATTTTGGAAAAAACAAAAATGTTTTTACCCTCCTGGGTAGACAGCTATTTGAGGGCGTATGAAAAAGCTTTACGCCAGGAGCAATCTTTGGAGAGGCAGAACCACGAGGTGACCGGTGAGTTTAAAAGAGTGTTTAAAATATATAGACAGGTCACGCGAAAAATAAAATACTAAGTTTTCTATTCTCTAAAAAAAGAAAGCGCCCATCACGCTGATCAGGAGCAGCAGCGATCATTAACAGAGGACCCTTTGGAAAGTAAGTTTTTTCTGCGTTCAAGCTTCTATGACTATATGTAATAATAACAGTTCTCACTTCATGTAATAATAATAATGTCTGCTTCAATGCTCTCAAGGCTCCAGCCTCCTCGTATACAATTCTGTAGACAGAGCTGAGCCACAGCGGGCCCTGGAACCGCCGCACCCCGGGCAAGTGCCCCCTCAACCAAAGCAAGAAATCCCCCAACAGCAGCGAAAACCACCACCACGTCCACCTTCTCCATCGTCCTCCTCTTCTTCCCATTCATACGGTAATGCCTCTATTTCACTCAACTTTTTAAAAACGTGATGTATTCAGCAACACCCAGCTCGTAATCCTCCTTCCTTCAGATTCACGTAGCCGCCGGAGGAGACCTAGATCAAGGCACAGATGCAGGTGCTCAGCGGTTGGAGATAGCACTCGGTTCGTCTCAGATGCCCGATGCCACTCAAACGTAATGCTTCAACATCTTGCAAGATTAATGTGTGAATCATATCAGGTGATGAGTGACATTCTTGCCTGTTACAACCGAAACTGAGTGATTAAGAAGTAAGCCTACTAATGTTACAGGATGTCAGCCTGGAATGTAAACTTAACTCATTTTGATGGGTTAGATGACTTGATTAATAATTTGTTGATAAATAACTCATCAGAAAACCATCCGTTACCTGTTAATCCATCAGATTTTGATTTATTAGAATTTGAAGTAAACAGCCTGTTGCAGAGAATACGTGAACAAAGAGAAAGGATTTTTTTCAGCCCTTCACAGAGCGTTGAAAACAGT